AAGTGCTGGAAGTGGACAAAAATGAATTAATCATATAATTCAATCCTTTTAAATGATGAAAACTTGAAAACTGAAAACTTGTAGACGCGGTGCCAGTCGTTTGTAAATGTTACTGGGTAAGGTCGGAATTGGAGAATATCGTCTTTTACCCGTGAATGGGAACACGTACAAATATCGATAATCGGTGTCGGTAAAATATCGAAAATCCTGGCGTATGTCGACTATCACTATGCTTTGAAGTAGTTCAAGAATAAGGAACCGACTGGTTCACCGGAGCCAAATCTCTCGTTCTGCGTTAAGTCAGTCACCTTTGTACTGAAGTGCAGTAAATCGTAATCGGTGTGATTGTATATCTTTGCTTTTCGCAGAAAGTGAAATACATTAATTTTGGATACACTGGAAGGTTCCCATTTTTTTCAAGAGAAGTACGCTAAAATATCATCAGTAGTGGTTTCTGTTAAATCTAGGTGCATCGCCTTTTGATTAGAAACAATTGAAACGTTTTAACGTTCCAAAACTCAATGATGAAGATCAGTAAATTATTCCATTGAATCCGTGGAAAAACAATATACAGTATTATCTTACCATTGAAGAATTGATACTACATGAAAATCAAAAATATTTCTGTTTAATGCTTCTTTTGTCTTTGTTCAAAAATTGCACCGACTAGTTTTTTAGTATAAGAGTTTAGGTGTTGTATTTCCTTCGCTTATTTATCTATTTTATCGCATTTCTTATCCTAAAAAATCTAGTCGGTGCTGTTTTTGAACAAAGAGAAAAGAATAATTCAACACAAAACCAAAACAATTTTGACAAGGATAAAGCCAAAGATAAAAAGAACAACCAATATCTCTGCATACCATATATTTCGTACCTGTCTGAAAACCTGGACAAACTATTCAGGAAATATGACATAGAGGTGTGCCATAAGCAGTATAATCTGCTAGAAAACAATTTCAGCAGACTAAAAAGTACGAATCCTACCGATAAGAAAACCCACACAATACACCAGATTCCATGTTCGAAATGTACAGGAATATATATTGGACAAATTAACCAATACTTGAAAAATAGATTATATGGACATAGGTGTAATACAACAACAACAACAAAATACGTTTATCAAGTGATTTGATCAATTACATTTCATTTTTTCATTGCTAATACAAATTGGGAAGTTATAAGGTCTTGCGACCTTCTTCAACCCTGTGCAACTTAATTATCTTTGTACAAAAAAAAATATTAATGAGATTGAATTCTCGCTTAACTCTTGGTGAAACATAATTGAATATTAAAATAATATAAACTCTTGGCTTAATGTTTCACGATTTATTTAACAATATGTATAGTCAACATGTTTCGAGCGTTAGCTCATTTTCAAGACTAAACTACTATAAGAAACGTACAACAAATTTATATCTACAAAATGGATGAGAGTAGGGAGGATAGTTGAAAATCTACTTGTTCATTTACAATTTCTCCTTTTCTCTTCCAAGAACTGCTAATTTCAATGGCCTCCAGAAGGTCTAAACGTTTACCTTTATTACCTGAGTGTACGCATTTAGTTTTATCAAAATCTATGAAGTGATTAGAGCTAATACAATGTCATTGGAGGCAATTGAAATTAGCAGTTCTTGGAAGAGGAAAGAAGAAATTGTAAATGAACAAGTAGATTTTCAACTATCCTCCCTACTCACATCCATTTTGCAGATATAAATTTATTGTACGTTTCTTATAGTAGTTTAGTCTTGAAAATGAGCTAACGCCCGAAACATGTTGACTATACATATTGTTAAATAAATCGTGAAACATTAAGCCAAGAGTTTAATTTATTTTAATATAAACAAAAATATATCATTAAATAATTTGAATTTTGTTATAGGATAAGTATAAATTATATATAGGATAGCCCTAAAAGTGCGGCTGTGGCCGACTTCTGTATTACGTGCCATTCGGTCGAATAGGTGTAATAAACACCACTACCCTCACAAAACACCAACATTAGGCCATAAGTTTGATTTTTCGGCTACAAAAATCCTCAAAACTGAGCAGCATAAAAGAAAGCGAGAAATCCAAGAAATGATTTATATAAGGAAAAATCCAGATTTCATCAACGATAAAACTGACATAACTGGTCTGAGTAAAAAATACAGCAATATTTTAACCGCATAGGAGCACACTGCAAAATATATAAAAATGTATTGTTTGATGTGAGTGATATTATAAACGTAATCAGTCTCCAAGTCGAGTCATATATCTACAATATGCTTTAAGAGATGAACGTGTTGTTGTGTTTTGGAAGAAAAATTTTAGATATTTTGAGTATAATTGTCAATATAATTGTTATTTCAGTCGACTTTTGTGTCTGAGGTATTCATGTTTGTAGTAAGATTTTAAATCATTGGGGCGTTTGTAGGCATCATTTTTATATTCATTTTTGTATAAGCGATCACATGACAATTCGTATCAATTTGATAAATGTTAAAATAATAACCGAAACGAAACGTTATTGGAAAAAAATTTAACATAATTTTGTTTCAATTGAACCAAAAAACCCCAGAAGCGAATTTTTACTATGAATATATATATATATATATATATATATATATATATATATATATATATATATATATTCAAATTATGTTTATTGTTCGGTACAAATTCTCAGGAGGTATAAATATCGTTTCACTGGCTGATATTGATTCAGTCTTCAAAACGGAGTCTAATGAACTCTACCAAAGACATTCAATTCCAAGCCAAAAAGAAGTCGATTCCTTACACAGAATTTTGTGTTGTGTTTTGTGATTTTTTTCGTTTTAATTAACATCCAAGTTTGTACATCTAAAACTTGAACTACGCCGTTCTGACGATAGCCAATGAGCTTGAAACATATGTAAACGGCTGTCACAAAAATTTCAGGTTCATAACGTAAGTCTCTTATATATATATATATATATATATATATATATATATATATATATATATATATATATATATATATATATATATATATATATATATTATAGTTTTCGGTATTTACCTGAGATTTACGTTGCTTGTTTATTTGTACAGCCGTTTACAAAAAGCCGTTTAAACAAGCAACGTAAATCTCAGGTAAATCCTTGTTCTTAATGTATATATATATATATATATATATATATATTATATGTGTGTGTGTGTATAATCAACGAATTAACGTTTTTCTGTTCATTATGTCTAATATATTCAACAAATTATATTGACATTGAAGCTTGTGCAGGAAAAGCATCATTTCCAATATAAATTCTAATGTGGCTAATTCTGGAGAAAAAGCGGACATCGCCATTAAAAACAGGTTGCTACGATGGGAACATCTCGAATGCAAATATATTGCTTTGATGACCATATCTGCGTTAAAGCTCGGAGCGAACCTTTCGTTACACCGTTTTCATGGTCCATGAAAGATGTACCAGGCCTTCCCAACGGAATTGAAATTATACGGAACATGTTCTGAAGGTACTCAGATTAAAAACACTCTTCTGTGATTCTCGAAGCAACGCAATTTCGACCAATTCAAACTTTGAATTTATATCAGGAGAAAGCAATTAAAGAAAAATTAGAACACAAAGGGCAATCAAAGATAATATATGATTATAACAGAGAATGTTATAGTCAGAACATTGAGAAGAAAGTTTGAAAACTCAAGCATGATAAGAAAAAAAAAGAATCAAGATAGTATTTCGTAAAATAAAGTTGATTGAATGTTCGCTGATCTCTTGGTGAAATATTGTTAATAAACTCTTTGAGTTTAACTTTTATTTGCATTATTCGTATTTATTACAAATTTTGTGAAACCAAGCCAAGTGTTCTTATTTAATATATTTCGTGAAATATTGTATAGACGAATAAAATGAATGCAAACGAAATATAGAAGATGGTAATAAATGGAAAAATATAGAATAAGCAAAATTCAGAGCAGAGAAAACGATAAAGAGACTAAAAAAGGGTTTCGTAAGATACATTTCTTTACTGGGTCCCATTCTTCTGCAACAACAATTTTTTTCTTTACTATTCCCTACAAACTTCAAAAAAATTGGAACGATAATTGTACTGATGAAAATTAATTATGTCAATTGACACAACTGACATAAATAATAATAAAAGCACTGACCAAATTAATTTTTCAAATAATTTGGTCAGTGCTATCGACTAAATTTCTTGGAATATATGTAGACAGAAATTTGAGAAGGACAACTCACATTTTTATTCAAAAATTGAGTAACTCATTTTTTGCATTATTTAGAATTGAAACATTGTATCTAGAAACTGTTTTAAGAATGTGTATTTCAGTCTCGTATATAATTATCAGAGCTATAATATTCTGCTGTGGGGCTACTTCACAGATATGAATACGATGAAAATGAAGATAGGTTTATTAAATTGAATAATAATCATGAGTATTCAAATAGGAACAGTGATGTGCTACTTATTCCCAAGCATACAACAGCTAAATTTGAGTACTCACACTATTGTCAGAATATAGACATCTTCAATCATTTACCATCGAATTTATAGTACCAAAAGCTCATTTGCTTAGGAAGATAGTTAGCAAAGTCTTTGCTGTTACAAAGGCTTACTTTAGTGTGGCAGTTCTCTTTGATGACTGGAATGTAGACAATAATGTATAAATCAGTTTTTGTATCATATGTTTGTTTACGTTTTCACTACGACCATCTTTCATAAGGTGATATTGTCTTGAAGGATTAATATTTTTGAGGTTATTCTTCTTTTCTCAAATGTAGGTGACTACCACTGTGAATTCCGTGTGAAATTGAACCAATATTTTTGTTCGACGACTGGATGCATTATTTTTAGTTGTAACTACTTTATTGATTGAATTAAGTGGACCTACAGTTTAACGCCCGTTTCGAAGGGCCCATGGGCTTGTTTGTAATCATTGTACATTACACAACAATTATCATCATTAAACTACTTAAATCATAGACAAATACATACACCCATGCCTTCAGCGCGGCTCTAACCCGAATCGTACCCGATTCATAGTCGTGTGTTTTCCCGTCTAAGCCATGAAGGCCTCTACGAAGAATATTATTATTATTTTCATTATTTTAAAAATGGATCATTTACATTACACAACAATTATCATCATTAAACTACTTAAATCATAGACAAATACATACACCCATGCCTTCAGCGCGGCTCTAACCCGAATCGTACCCGATTCATAGTCGTGTGTTTTCCCGTCTAAGCCATGAGGGGCCTCTACGAAGAATATTATTATTATTTTCATTATTTTAAAAATGGATCATTTACATTACACAACAATTATCATCATTAAACTACTTAAATCATAGACAAATACATACACCCATGCCTTCAGCGCGGCTCTAACCCGAATCGTACCCGATTCATAGTCGTGTGTTTTCCCGTCTAAGCCATGAGGGGCCTCTACAAAGAATATTATTATTATTTTCATTATTTTAAAAATGGATCATTTAGAAGGTGTGACACTTCAAAAAATATATGAATTATATAAAAAAGTTGAATCTATACCAACTGAGAAAGTGTAAAATAACACGAAAATATTATGCGATACTAAAAACTAATCGAAATAAAAAACAATTTGAAACCTAATCTGGAATATAGTTAACCAAGCTGCCGTTGACAGAGTTATATAGTAAAGAGTTGAAAGGAATACAGAAAAAGTATCCGTAAATTGCGATATACTTTTTACCGGGCAAACTACTGGAATATGTTATATAAATGATAATTTTGTATTATTATTTCTTGTTTCAACTGAGAGCTTCATTCTTGTTCTATATATTTCCATCAAACTCACTTAATATGTTTACTATGTTTTCAAATATCTCGCAGAATGCTCACGCTGCTAATGAAATGAAACGAAAAAGAAAAAATGTAAAACTGAGGTTATGAAGGTTTCACATTTTAACAGTGTTCGAATACCTAGTGAATGGGGCATTACGTTGAGCTTCATTATATTAGCATATCAAGTGGTAACATAGAATTCTGAGTTCAACGTTTTGTGTTTGTAATTCAATTCTAAACTTCTTTTATTTCATAATTCGTGTTTTATTGCTTATATAAACATGTATATATAAGTAAATACTGAGACTCTTAATCGACATATTTCAAATAAAACTTGCAGGGGCTGTCTACACAAATGTTGTCAACGAGAACGAACCTATCACTTTCGAGAGTGAATATTAAGTGCGCTTCGACAAAATCATCGATATTGCTGAATGGGATACAATTGTTTCAGCATTATCATGAATCATCAGCCCGTATTTAATCAATCAAAAATCGATCAACGCGCGCAGGTCCTAGATCCAATGAGGAAACAACAGTTTGTGAAAATTCTCGTGAACTCCCTCTATCGAAAAAAAGACGAATAAACTCTCCCTCTCGATTCCTACTCATGACAACATTAGTGCGAGTATGTGACACTACGTGGACATTTCATTCGAACAAAACAGAAATCTGTCTGCAATGTGTAAGAATGGTCTCATTGGCATTGGCAAAAGGACAATTAGTTTCAAGATTCACAAATCATTCATACTAGTAAATACTGAGACTCTAAATCGAAATATTTCAAATAAAAGTCTCAGTTCTCGAAGTTTTCGAAGCGCACTTAATATTCACTCTCGAAAGTGATAGGTTTGTTGTCGTTGACAACATTTGTGTAGACAGCTCCCTGAAAGTTGTCATAAGAATTCTTTAACGCACCACACATATGTTTCGGAATAATTGCTGGTTAGCAAGACGTTAACACAATTCTTAATCATACTTATCATAGCAGGTTGAAATATTTGTCGAGTGTATAAAGAATTTTTCGTGAAATTTTGCCGAGTGTTTTCGATTATATGATTTATTCAACAATGTTCTTATGTAATGTGGAAGAAGACAATTGACCTTATTGATAATTTCATCAATTTTTACACGCAAATTGTCAAATAATTCATGCTGAAATAAAAAAATTTCCTCATCGTGGCTCGTATCAAAATGTTTGATAATTGTTGCACAGAGCAACCAACTTAATCATTCCTTTCTCAAATGTAGTTGATTACCATTGTGAATTCCGTGTGAAATTAAACTAATATTGTTGTTCGACGACTGGATGCAAGATCAGCATTCTCCTCAGTTGTAATTACCATATTTATTGAATGAATGTATATCTATATATACAATGTAAGGGATGTCTCACAACGAATTTTTTTTTAATTGAGTGGGCCTAGAGTTTAATGCCGGTTAAGAACGGCCATTGGGCTTGTAATCAATGTACATTACCCAGCATATGTTAAACTACTTAAATCATAGACAAACAAAAACACCCATGCCCTCAGCGGGGCTCGAACCCGAGTTCTACCGCACCATAGTCGCGTGTTCTGCCGACTAAGCTACGAAGACCGCCCCAACGTCTCTTATTCGAATTAAATTTTTTGTTTTATGTCGAATTTCAATGTTTTAACTTTTTTCATACTCAATTCATCTTGAGACCTAATTCCAGCTGATGAAAATTTCACAATTTACCGATAAGAAGATACATTAGTGAGTACACCACAAAAACCTACTAACTTCGTGTCACATGTTCTTGTGCAATAGAAACAGTATTTTGATTCCTTTTTCAGCCTTTTTTTTTATAACGATGAAGAAGAGGAACGCTCGATTTGTTCCCTTGTGTAAAATCTGCTGATTTACAGTATGAAATGGATCATCTCGAACTGACAAGGATTATCGACTAAAATCGACAATTTCATATTGCTTATATATTCAGTATAAAAATTATAAACATAGTGAACAGAATGAAGCTACATCAATTCAATTTCACGGCGATGAGTGGAATTTCTTCGCATGACTGGTGCAGAGCAACCCACTAAATTATCCTGAAGGGTTCGCCAAGATTCGTATAAGACCTAATGGCAAACTTGCAAAAATCGATAATTCGAGTAATTCCAAGTCGATAATCATACATTTTTGTCGACGGAACGAATCAAGTGCTTGTACTCTGAAAATATACGCGTTCCTTTTTTTTTGAACCAAACACGTCTACTGTAATTCATGCATGATAGTTATTCCGGAAACTTTTTTTTGAATCTTCAGAAAACTGTTCTCAACAATACTTTCATTTTTTGAATTAATTTTTAATTAAATATTCAATTTTTAAGTAATAACCTAAAAATTCCAATTTTATTTCATTATCACCTATTGGGCATGAATAAGTATTTCTTTCAAGGTTTATTAACACTATTAATTTAAGTTTGAATTCTGAAACAAAATGAAGAACTAAATGAACTGAAACAACTGAAAAAAGATTGAATCAATTATAAAGATTTTAATAATGAATCATTTTCATACTGTGAGTTGAAACTAAATTATGAAATGAAAATGAAATAAAATAAATTACATTTGAGATATATTAAAAATAAAAACAAAAATAAGATGAAATAAATAAATTATCACCGTTAAAAACAAACGGAGGGTTGAATTTGAAATCGAATTCACACGACGTTTCGGTTAATAAAAATCTCAAACCATTCTCAAGTTAAATCCTCTTTGTTTCAGCTTTACAAGGACTCTGATTGTTAATCATCTTTCAGTTTACTTCTTCAGTTGATTAACTTTATCAATCAACTCTTCATGATCAAAGCTTTATTTGAGAATTTTACTTAAAAAATTAATTAATAGGGAATTGAAGTTCGATATAGTGATGAAAAATTTATCGGAATATATAGGTTCCTTAATAGAAAAATGAACTTTAAAATTTGTCACAGATGCTACTTCTTAGAATCAGTAGCATTTCATAAAATTTTTCGATATCCTTCGAAATAAACCTCCCTGGTTCATTCCTTTTTTTGATAACAAAATCCATGAGAGATGAAAAGACACATCGATACATTTGTAGAACAAAGCTCCCAATTGCTTAAGTTCATACGTAACGTGAGAAATAATTTTTTTTTCACCAAAGCGGGGCATGTGCTGAATTATATGATAAATTTTTTTTTATTGTATTTTTGAAATTTCTCATTGAAGAAGATAGACCTATACTTAATAATCGAAGAACTTAGCACAAAATAGTTAAGGCACGACTAACTAAGCCACAGTAGTGGCGTGAGTTTCAAGTTCTATTTTTATATTTGTCATTGAAGAAATTGTTTCGGGTCATGTTTCTAGATAAATTTGGAAGTCAGTAAACGAGTTATTTATATTTATCTTCGATATCAGATAAGCTTTCATCACTACGACACTTAACTATTTCACTATTCCATATTTTTTGCGTTGAAGAGAGAAACTTTTATCGATAATTCTGGAAGAAATTTTTGAATGAAGATTGTTGGTACGAGGGTGGTAAAATAATTGGATCTAACTGTTTTCAGTAGAAACATTCTCGATAGTCCACCCATATTTTTTAAAATTTGTTGCGAAGTTGAAAATACAAGCCTTTTGTATGTTGGCTGCTGCCAACTAATCCTTGCGTGACCAAAAAATGAAATATTTCTGTACTTTTTCCCTCGTTTTTATGCAATTCTGTTAAAATTGCCTCTTCAAAACATCTAGTTCTGTGTGGAATTGGCACCACTGCTTCAAGTATTCTTTGCTCTTTCCATAAAAGTAATTCTGTCACTTTTTCGTCATATCACAAACAGGTTACGTACATTGCGAGGAAGGAAAATATTGATATATTTTCAGTGATGCCACACAGCTTTATCGAAGGTTGCTGATTGTGTGTGCAGAAAAAGTAACTACAACTTTGAGCTGTTATTTTCGACAAGTCTTGTTGTCTTCGTTACTTGTAAATTTGGTCATGTGTCGATAATCAGATATAGTTTCTCAAAGGCTGAAACATTTTTATAACTTTCTCAAGACATCAAGGAGGCTACCTTGTTTTACTGTAGCCCAGCCATTTGTGATACTCTCGTCTCGATGACAAACTTCAAAGTTTCTACTCGAAAGTTGTATTATAGATATAAAAAAATGAGTAGATTTTCATTATGACGCATTCGAAATCAACAGTAAGACAATCACTGACAGTTTTAATCGCGTTATGAACTAGGTGGT